GCGCACAAAGTACGAAAAAGCGATTACTAAACAATCTTTAGAATTATAGCAACAATAACAACATTGAAATTTTAAAAAGTAGTTAGCTTTATAAGCCACGCCGTTCTGAGAGACGTTGAATCAGAGAGCGTGGTGAACCACTTCGACGAGGGGCTAATTAACCTTTAAACGTGTCATTTTATTCGGACCTTAAAGTAAGAATAGAATCGGACAGAAAAGGTCACCTGGTTTTGCATAATAAGGCCTCAAGGAGCAATTCTCTGTCGTGACAGTAATGTTGTCTATTGCTATAATGAGCTTTTGAGCAAGAAAACCTTCTCCCTCAAAAATGATCTAAAATGAAGAGTAGATAACAACACCGTTTTAATTAATTAAGTGACTTAAAACCCAAAATTACAGGCAATCCAAAACCAAAAGAAGAGCAAATTGGAAATTGTCTGAAAAATGTACGGAGCTATTTTGAGTTAAAGTGAGAGTTGCAACGGTTTTTAACATGCAGAAGACCCCATAAACCTGACACTCCCGGAAACGAACTCTGCAGTTGGTACCTACCCTCCTTCGGACATTAGGAAGCTCAATCAACGACGACGTTGACGGCAACGCGAACGTCAAAAACAAACAAACAAACAAACTGTCTTAATACTCAATCAGCAATTCTCTATTCCTGCAGGAGTAAGACGCCAAATTCCCTTATGCGACATTTCATGTAGCGTGATATACTTAACACTGGGGTTAGGTCCCCAAGAATTCTATTCCAGGGAAATTAAATTACATTTTACACATAAAGCTAGTGTGATGATCGCAACAAAATTTGACAAAAAGTAAATTCTTAATAAAAGTGCTATTTTCGCTTTCGCCGTAGTCGTTGTTAAAGCTTATTTATCCACATAGTTTATTTATTTACTTTACAATATTATCTGTTATGACTGCTGTAACCTTTCCTCCCCGCCCGCCTCGTCTAGCTTTTGCTATTTGCGGGCGGAGATGGCAAAATGATGTGCATGAAAATAAAGTATAGTGTGTGTGAGCGAGGTTATCAAAAACGCGGACGCTTCTCCAAGCCGGATAGTTGAAACCCGTTTACATGTTAAAAGAGATACGAAACGGCTCGGGTAGGAATAAGTAACCGTTCCAGACGAGATCTGTTTTGACCTTTTTGGAATAGAAAGGGCAAAATTGAAAGTGTCCGCACTTTCACCTACCTGAATGGTATCTGCGCCTGACCAAGCCACTTGAGCTAATGACCAGTCTTCACCTTGGTAGCCGCTTAGCTGCCAGGCCAAAACTGGTTTTTCTTGTTTAGCTTCTTTGAGAAATATTCTTAAAAATGACTTGGAATGAGTTTTCATAAGGTACTTAAACCTGAGACACAAACAGACGGTTCGGTGAAATGGTTTCCACGGCAACAATGGACTTTTTAACTGAGCTTTGTATGCACCATCAATGTATGCAAAATAACCTGGAAAGAGTAAATATTTTCGCGCTATAAGAACATTTTCTTGGTAAATACTTTCCTCGATTAAATTAATATCATCATCATTATGACTCATTGTGTCGGCAGACACATAAAGCCATGAACTTCTCCTTTCGAGCTTCTTTATCTTTTACCGCTGCCTTCGCAGAGCCCCAGTGGCGCCGCTCTGCCTTTCTATTCACTGTTTCCTTCCTTGTCCGCTTCCTGGTCGTTTTTAGTCTCTCTTCTGGTATAAATGGTGTTAAAAAAAGACTCAGATTTTAAATGTTTGACAAACACACCTGTATAGTTCATTAAGGTATATAAATCGGTTGACAGTTTCCACTTGTGATCCATGTCTGCAATATTCTTCCAGTCACAAAAGCCCGATTGGAAAGAGCATTTGTTCACCACCCCCACTGGCAGAGAAACAAACTTCAGATTAAAAGTCAAGTTCAATTTTTTAAATTTTGTGACTTTTTATACAATTTGCTGCTCTCTATTATGGTTTTTTTGTCTAATATGCTTAATATTACTGATCCAATGCAGTTCTCCAACATAAGTTGGGGGGGGGGGGAAGAGGGGGGCTTTCTGCCATCAGGGACATTATCATCAAGATTCCTAAGTCATGAAAACGAGGCTAATATAACAAATGAAGACACCATCCTAATGTTAACTCTAGTGCCCAATTCCATCTGGACCGCGTGTGTGCAAATATTTCTTGGATTTGTCAAGCGTCATTCTCTCTAAATAGTCACTGGTTGGTTTTTTTTTTACGTTTAGACAAGAACGATTTTACGATTATTCTGCCAATTATTTTACAATCCTGAGTAATGGTCCGGACCGAGCCTATGACCGGCGATATCGCTATCTGTCTGAGACCAGCTCCCTGCCAAATGTGCTTACACTGTCTCATGTAAGATCTTAATTTGTCTTTTTTTCTGTCTCTCTTAGACAGTTGTTAGAACAGTTAGAATGATCATTTTATGGCCGTATTTTCAAGGGTAACGAATAGTAACCCAATGGCTCACTAAAAAGCAACAAAGAACTGGTGGAAGTTGGAAATACCTTCAAGTAGAACATGTCCCAACACTTTTTCATTCACAAGTTGCTCTGAATTGTTAGCAAAGGCATAAGTGATCTGGGGCATGGAGATAAAAAATATGGTGAGCATTCGTAAGAGCATAGACAGCTCTGGTTTCCTAAGAGAGCCCTTCGTAGTGTCGTCACGTAACTACAAAAAGAAGAGCTGCTTAGGAGACATGTTCAAATTTAAAACTAGAATATATTTACCTAGACTGCGAAAACATCCGTTTCTCCTCGCTCTTCGCCGCTAGGAACGTTTCGCGAAACGTCCCCAGCGGCGAAGAGCGACGAGAAACGGATGTTTTCGCAGGCTAATATGAGGGTGTGAATGGGGTTAACCTACTAGCGACAAAGGGCGAAAAATATTACTGACTACCGACAAAACGAGTGAAAAATTACCGACTACCGACAGGAAAAATATTAACCGACTACCGACATGGGCTGATATTATCAATATTTGTTTCCAGAAAAAAGAGCAATTTGTATTTATTCTAACCGTTAGCTCGAGGAAGTAACCTCTTTAAATTTATGTCTCATCAGATGGCCTAAGGGAAAGAATTTCCTTTTTTTGTTGTTGATACAGGTACATTGCTACAGCCAATATCAAAATCACAAAGTCACACTTTATCGAAAAGTCAAAGGTGAAAAAACCGAACGTTTCTCGCTTAGATTAATCCTCAAAGAAAATTCCTTCCCGTTTAATGTAAAGCACTATCAGTTCAAACCCACGGTACCGCGATGAGCACAAAGGCAGTAGTTTCCTTTCCAACATTTTCATGGCACATATTGAAACACAAAGTTTAAGCAAAACCGTCTTTAAACCAACTGTTTGAAAACGCTGCATAGATGACATCTTTTCCCTATGGGACATAAGTAAACGAGACATCGTAGCTTTCTTCGCGGAACAAGTAATTTTACATGCCCTCCTATGAAATTCACGGCCGAAATATCTGAAAATGAGACATTCTTATTAGAAACGGTTGTATACAAAGGTACAATATTCAGCGAAAAAATGAGAAAAAGGTATCCTTAACGTAAAGACGCATTTGAAACGGAAACCTTACAGTGTATACAATTTCACCTCTTATCACACACCAATTGTTAAAGCGCCTGTTTGACAAGCGAGAAGCCTTGAGAATCCTACGAACAAACTCCTCTGAGGAAGTATTTCAGATTTCAAAAGCGCTTGATGGACAGAGGCTAGCCACACAATTTTGAAAGAAAAATTGCTATTAGAAGTAAAACTCACAGGAAGGAGGGCAGCGCTCCTGAAATAAAACAACCAGGAAGAAAAATACTGAAATATTGCCTTTCGAGACATAATACCAGCCCTTAGTGTCTATAAAAAAGAAGCTTTAATGAAAAAGTGGAATCTCATACAAAACCAACCACTACCTTGCCAAAATTTTAAAGAACCACCTAAAGTGCTATTTCTTTGAGAAATGGAAAATTATGGCAAAGGACATGCTTGTTAGAACCAAAACATAAGAGGGATGCAGTTTTTCACTATCCATCAATTAATTAATTAATTACTTTTTACTGTGCCCTGTAGTCGACAGGGAAACCAAGTTCGCACTTACAATAAAAGCTTTGGTGATTTTATCAGTACTATATTCATTTAATGGCAAACAATGATGAAATAAACGATCATGTTGCGTAAAAAAACAAGAGTTAATACACGGTTTAGGCACAATCAAATGATGCATTCTTGCAAGTTATACTCTTTCCTTAGGGATCAAAGTCTTGAAAAGTGGGTGAAATACATAAAAAATATTAATAATCAACAAGCGTTTTTACTTATTAACTGAGATTTTCCGACAACCGACGAAAATCAAAAAGTTTAACCGACTACCGACAAAGATCGAAAATTTTAACCGACTACCGACAAAATTACTGAATTTTTACCGACAACCGACAATTTGACCCCCCCATTCAGACCCTCTAATATTTACCCGGGAGAAGATTCCCCAATAAAAGTTACCAAGATGCTTGCCGTCTCGCTTAGGGGAATTAGGGGAAGAAATGGCCCATTTGGTCTCATTAAGGGTTTTTGGGGTGGAAAGGAAACATTTTTGTCGATAAAAACATCGCCTAGGTAGCCTAGGGTTGAGCGGGAGACGCACAGATAGGCCACCTTTAGCGGATTTCACTTTTTAATTTTCCCCAGATGGACCACCCCCGCAACTTTTATGTTGGAACCCCCCGGAGATAGTTATACAATAACATGAATTATGGGATAAATCATTAATTTCGTTGTAATAATGATAATTATAACAATAATGGAAACTTTATTTGTGTTTTTGAATGTACAATTGTAAATCTCGCTACGTATAGGCAATTTACAAATGCTGCTTGACATTGGATGATTAAAAAACAAAACAAAACAAAACAAAAGCAAAAAAAAGAAAAAAAGAAAAGAAAAGAAATCAAAATTGTCTGGGCTATCCCAATTCCTATTTCTTCAACAAAAGATGTAATATGTTGCTCTAATGGCTATATTTATCATTTTCTTGATTAAATAAAGGTGCTGCTTTTTGTCAATGACAATGTCAATCATCATGTCTAAGAACGTGGAGCATTCGTCGGAGAAAACGTTAAGGGAGCTCATGGAGAGATTTACAAATCTCACACATCTGTAATTTCTACTCATTTCGTTGATCAAGTTCAGATATTTTTCTTTCTTACGCACTGCATTGTTGTTAAGGTTAGACTCGAAACCAACCGTTAATTCTAGAACATATAGGCACTTGGACTGAATTAGGAAAAGAATATCTGAACGATAACTTTCACCAGTTATTATTGAGGGATTCATGATCAGAAAACTATTAACGAGGGGGGCATTGGGGGGTACCCAATACCGCAATACCTTAAGACAAAATGGCAAATACCGAAATACCGCGTCGAAAATCGTCTAAATACCGATACCGAATATTTTAATCACATTTATAATCGGTTCCGCATACTTATGGTTGCTTCCATTTAGCGTGTTTAATGATCTCAGACATTTATGCACCAGATGTCCACGTTTTTTTGATATATATTTTGGTAGTTCGCAAACTTTTCGCAAATTTTTACTGCAAAGTAAACTACTTTCGTTCAACCTTTTGGTAGGTCGACCCAACAGCTAATTAACTCCAATAAAAATAACTCTTGAAAGCGCGAAAAACAAACCAACCAAAACCCTTTCCACGCACGTGTAGTGCGAGTTTTGATAAGTGAGTCTAGTCTAGCACGTCAGTCCTCAGGGGTCAACTATCTCGACTGACTCACACGCCTCGCCGGTAAGAGGCAAACTTACCAACTTTTCGTTATCAAATTCCTTGTATGAATTTTTTTGGGCCATAGCATGAATATTTTTTTGTATTAATTGGCGTGCAAGAATTTTTTTCATTTAATTTTCCCTTGGGCGAATATTTTTTTAGTACTTCGCCCCCCCCCCCCCCCCCCCCCCCCCNCCCCCACCCCATAAGTTTTCTAATGGTCCGTCCCTAAACGAGGGTCTCAATGGGGTGGTGGCTTTTACGGTTATCGGCTAAAATTTTGGCTCTTTTACGGCTATCGGTTAATTTTTTTTCAGTTACGGTTAACAAAAAAGTTAAAGATTAATTTCTTTTGTTTCAAAGAGTTCAATGTTAATGAACCTGTATTTTTTGTATCTTTAAAGCAAAATAAAGGTCTTAAGATGATCTCGGAATGAAATGCTATCCTTCTGAAAAATTTTAACATTTGATAGATCATACTTTTTATAAAGTATTCCACTTCTAGTATTATTTTACGCAAAGAAATGCCAATAGTTAATTTAAAACGCGAACGCCAAACTCAAGACCGGGGGCGTGACATTCATTTATAACAGAAACGGCCGTTTTCACACTAGAGACGGGTGATTCGTGTGAGACGGGTTATCCGTTTGATAATTCGCGTCAGATAAGCAATACGTCTTAGTTTCAAAACGGAATGGTTTTAATTTTGAATGAACAAACCACCTGACTTTATTCGTCAATTTTGACGGACAGTTTGGATATAGATTATCCGTTTCTGATAGCCTGTGTACAGCCGCCTCCTCTGAAAAAATCGGAGAAGGGGTGTCTGTGGGGGAGGGGGCGTCTGCACACAGGCTAGTCTACAGACGGATGATCCATTTCTACCTCTGATGTGAAAACAGCCAATAACAAAATTCCCGTGTCCAGTGTTTTTAATGATAGGGAAAGACTGTACAGAACGACTCAGTCTCCTGTTGCCTTGTCCGTAGGCCTCATCGTTCAGCGCGGCTAATAAGTTTCGGGTCACGTGGGCCGAGTGAGTTTTTTTTCTTAGATACGCCACCGAAATGCCTTGAACGAGACTGCGTGGGAAGACGCCTTTAATACAAGAACTAGACATGGCAATGTCTACCGTGGCGTTAGAGAAAAACAGGGAATTGTTGTTTATCGGTCGCGTGTTTTACAAACAGTGACATATCTCCGCGTGTTGTTTCACTAGTATTTCGAGGGCTCAACCTCTTGAAAATCGCAAATATTAATCCCCAGCAAGAAGCCAGATTTTCGCTATGGAAAAAATTAGTTCTCCGAGAAAGCGACGAAAATAGAGTTTAGGTCTAGGTCAACACCTAAAAGCTAGGCGCTTGGCCTAACGTGCGTACGGAGTCAAAGTAGCCGGGAAGTAAAAAACGTAACCATATAAAAAGTGAGTTTAATACCTTCCTTAAATTGACAAACCTGGCTAGGGAACAATTTCTTTTTCAATTTTTACGCCTAACTACTAAATCTTAGGCCGTTTTACGCCTATCGGTTAATCCCAGTGAGGTCCTCCTAAACTGTCACAAAATTGACCCACAAATGGTGTAATCATTTATCGTTATGTCTCAAGACTTCTAAATATTAACTTTTATTGACCTTTATGTCCAACTGTGTTTTGTTTTGCGTATTGTATCGAAAGGAAAGCTCAAATAAACGGTACCGTAATACCGTGAACAATCTTATTTTACCGAATACCGTCAGCCAAAATGATGAAAAATCGGATAGCGCAGCGCTAGATGATACCACAATGCTACACGTTAAAATTAAAATTACCGAAATACCGCATGAAAAAAAGCACAGTACCGCAATACCGTAAACCACCATCTCCCCCTCATTAACATCTGCATAGAGTGAAGAGTGAACATTAATTACAGGTTGAAGTGACTTGGCAATGAAGTTAAGGATTGAGTCGTATCTCCGGGTAAAGCGATCAAGGTATTGTTGACAACCAGCGACAACATGAGGGAGTGATTCAGGATTAAGGCAAAAGGAGCAATCAGGACTTTGTGATAATCCCCATCTTGCCATATTCTTACGTGTAGTGAGGGTGTTGTTGATGTAGCGGATGGTAAAATTGTACATTTTCTCGGGTAGATGAGACTGGGCCTCTGACCAAATAGAATTTACAGAGAGATGTTAGGTGGTGTTGCAGTTTATCCTCTTGATTAGTGGATTTGTACACATCATATTCAATATTAGTGTGACAGCTTGACGATTTCCAGAGATCTTTTAAGAAATCATTTGGTGACTCTTTTAATGAATTTCGGAGAACTGTTTGGCACTGAGTTAATTTAATACAGGGAGGACAAATATATTTTTTAAATATTGCGTTCTAGGAAAATATTGCTCAGTGTTCCAGATATCGGAATATCAAGCCATTTTCGAATATAGCTATTCACTACAGAGTCGAGATGTTTCGTTATCCAGGTTTTGGATATATTAGCTATAGTGAAATGCCAGGACAGTTTCGATAGGACATAGCGGCTGTACAGAAGAAGTTTGTGTTTAGGATGCAGTGGCTTTATATCAGTGTCATTCATCAAGTTTTGTACAAGAGAGGACACTTCAGACATGTGTTGGTTGTTAGACATGTTAAAGTCAAAGAAGCGACATAAGTAACGAAATGATTCACCCATTTCCGCACAGGGAATTAGAACTCCATTGATCAACGGTTTGGGTAAATATTGGACAGATTTAGTGCACAGTTTCCGTATTCCAAAAGTAGAACATTTATCAACTCTTATTATCATGTTCGACCAATTACACCAGATTATAAAGCGGTTGATTAGATATTGATTTTCCGATTCCTGACCGCTTATGACACCAGCATCGTCAGCGAACTGCAACTAGTGGATGGGATTTAAGAACTTGAGGGAAAATCCAAATTGACGGTATTTTTCAGATTTAATATGCTGTAGAAGTGAGCTAAGGCAATCACCTTGGAGTACACCACGACCAACAGATATAAACGGAGTGCGAAATTCATTTGTAAGAATAGAGGTTTTGAAGTCAGTGTAGACTTTTCACCATTGATTTGATATGATCGGGAATGTGGTGGTAATCAAGAGCGGTTTGAATCAAGTTGTGATGAACTTCACCAAAGGCGTTTTTAAGGTCCAAAAGAGTAATGACGAGTGAACGCTGTTTGGTACAAGCTTTGTTAATGATATCAGCCATTTGAGCAGTGTGCTCAAAAGTTCCAGAAAGACCTGGTGTAAAGCCTTTTTGAATTTCATGTTCAATGTAGTTGTTCGCGGAGAGGAAGTTGAAAATGGCATTACGAAGACACAAGTTAAAAACCTTTAAAGGCACAGATTGTAAAGTAATAGGACGCAAGTTAGCAGGGTCACTAGCGTTTTCCTTTTTATGGATGAGGATTGTGCAGGCTCGCTTCCATTCGCTTGGGACAGATCCAGTTGACCAAGCTGTGCGTATAATTTCAGATAAATAGGTGCGAAGAAAAGGACATCGTTTGAAACCAATTACTGACAGTTGATCTAGGGGACAAGGAGAATCAGACGCCTTCATTTTTCTTATCACATTTGAGATCTGTTGGTATGTTGGAGGTTCAAGGTTAAACGGCATTACAGGATCTGATAAAGTTGGTATCCGGCTTGGAAGGTTGAAAACTTTAGTCGGATTTACTGACGAAAGAGTTCTTGCAAAGTAATCAAAACACTCATTCATGGAAAACGAAGGGAGGATTTCATCTTTTTTGTTGAAGATCTTTCTGCCATATCCCCTGAAATTTTTAGTTTTTAGAGGTGGAATAATCATGATTCATGAGGTCAGCGTTGACTTGACACGACGCGTTGTCTCGTAGTATGTCACGCAATAAGCGAGATACGTATTTGATTTCGGTGATGTCAGCGTTAGCGAACTGCTTCAAGACTTTGAGAGATTTCTTCAGATCATTTTTAGATTTGCCTTCGTATTTCCTTATTAGGCTTTCATCAGGAGCTCGTGAAACTTGACCAAAATTAGCAGAGAAATAGTCATAAACAGTGTCGTTCAGAAGTTTAAAACGTGAGCTGAGATTCTGAACAGTGATTGGAGGATTCAGAGATAATACGGATTTAAAATATTCGTCGGCCGTTAACCATTGTTCTTCAGATATAGGTAGATTTATTCCCTTTTTAACATCGGGAAAGCAATGGTCTTCAGGTTGAGGGGAAGGGACACTGGGGGCCATCAAAGGATCACTTACATCGCCAGATTCTTGGTCGGTGAGTACGGCATCATTGAGGTCAGCACGAAGTTGATCATTCAAACCCAAAACAACTCTACAACTCCTTTGATGCATCTTCAATCGTATAGAAGAAGCATCTGCAGCGACTGACTCATTCGCATCCTCATCCACTCCAGTAGAAGTACGCTCCGCTCGAGTAATTCTATGTTTTAATACAGCGTCACGCATGTCGGCCCAGCGAGACAAAATCCTTACCACAGAACGAACAGACCACACCAGCGAGCAAAACGAACAAAAACCGCGAACAAACCATGCCCTCCGACAACCAAAAGCAGCTCCCCACTGATTAATCCAAAAAAGATTTCAATCCAAGCACAAAAGGACGTTTAAAACGAGGACAGGCACAAAATGTGTCCGCTCTTTTCAATGTCCCAATAATAACAATAACAATAATAATAATAATAAATCCAAAGCGCTTTACAATCAGTACTGATAGTAATAAACCTAATAAAATATTACAATGACTTGTTTGTTAAAAATAAAAAATATAAAGAATAATAAATAAATAATAAAAAAATAAAATAAAATTACAGCTGAAAAGCACGCTTAAAAAGAAATGTTTTGATTTTTGATTTGAAAGCGTCCAGCTCACAACATGTGCGTATATTGACTGGTATGGAATTCCATATCTTAGGAGCTGCGTGTGAAAAAGCTCTGTAACCATAGGTTTTAAGGTTGTATTTTATAGTATGTACCAGGAGTCCTTTATCTGCAGCTGAACGCAGAGTTTTTGTTGGTCTATAGCGAACTAACAGTTCTTCTATACAAGGCGGTGCTGTATCATTAAGTCATTTAAATGTAAGAAGTAAAAGTTTAAAATCAATTCTTTCCGGAATAGGCAACCAAAGAAGAGACCTAAGATGGGTGAAATATGTCCATGTTTCCTAGTACCAGTCAAAAGACGTACGGCATAATTTTGCACTAGCTGAAGTTTGTTAATAAGATCCTGTTAATATGATCCTGTCGAAGCCCAGATAAGTTAATGGATTTAATGGCGCCGAAACCAATTGTGGAATTGCACGCATTTTAGGCATCCTACTGATGAACAGTTGCGACGCGTAGATATATATTTTTTAGCAACTAAGATGATTTGCAGCCTGTCTACTTTGAATTCTAATATCTTACTATCATAAAAATTACTATTTCTAGTGATAAATTGTACAGCCGTTAATGTTAGGTTTCCCCTGTGAAGCAAATTAGAGCCGTTTTATTGCATGTAACCAAGAGAGAATGATCTAAGAGAGCGAATCCTCCATACATGACCCTCTTCCCATGAAAATTATTTTCAATCTATTCTTGGTCCTGTGTCATATTGCGTGGTTATTTTAAGGACGCCACCTTATTGGTCGGTTAGAGTGGCGTTATATAATTTTAAACTTGGCGGGTAATTCATTTCATTGCCGATCACGCACAGCAAGCGATACAGTATGTTGCCCAGTATCCGGACACTTCAGTTTAAGATTTCAATAACTTTCCTTTGTTAATCGCAAGAGCTCTGAAATTTGGCCCAGAGAAAATCTATCTAGTCCTTAATATGACGAAAGACAGTTTAACTTTTTTGCCTTTGTTTCCATCGCGAAATTAATATTTTTGCAGAGCTCCTATGTTGCCCAGTATCCGGACTGCTGGCCCAGTATCCGGACACAACAATAACAACGTAATTGTACATAAATTTCGACAGGCAAGCGACTTATAAGCTTCTCTTGCACTTGCAAAGTAGTCTGGTAATCGATTCTATAAATATAACCTAGCATCGTGAAATAAAACATAACAAATGACTGGGGTATGGTGGGGAACGCGAGCGGCTGTTTTAAAAATGGTATAATTCTCACTTCCTTGTCTAGGAACTTTTTCACTGATTCAAGGAAGGCATCCGTGGACATGCCGAAGCCGCAGTTTGCAAGCTCAATTAGCCAATCTGCAAACGACTTTCTTTCTTCATTTTTTATTTTAAAAAAAGCTTGGGGAAGGGACCTCAACCGGACGGTCAAAGGTCACTCTACTATTTAGTCTGACCTGCAGTGTCTATTTCTTCATGCTCAGTCCCCACAATAAGCCTGCTTTTCTAGCATTAATTCCTCCTTCTTTCACATCTGTCAATCCCTTTGTGACATTTTTCAGACCGTTGCAACCCCATTCTAGCAGTCACAACCGGGGAAAGTATGAGAATTCCAGGTTCAACTCAGACGCTTTCAGTTATATATAGAAAATGCAGTCACGCGAAACAAACCGTGCACACGAAATCGAGTCGCCTCTGAATGAGTGAAGAAAATTTCCATACGGAGTTGAGTAGAATTACACTTTACGACTGTATCATATATCCTAAGCGTTAATTATAGTTACTGATATGAAATAAATCTTATGCGGATAATGTACACAGCTAATTCATCGATTCTGTACAGCAAAGAAAAAAATGTCCGGATACTGGGCACATGACATCAAAACTTAGTGAATGTTTCTGGCCTCCGTTTTTCCAAACAAATCGAATTTCAGGAAGAATTAAGAAACTTTCTGAAAACCTGACTTCCTTAAGTATCTTCAATTTAAAAATAAAACATTTTCTTTGAAAATATCACACATTACGCTCCCTTTTCTGAGCAGCACTGATTTTACTGCGCAGTAAACAGCGCAAATATTAGCCATGAAAAGTTTACTCACCTGAACAGAACGGCGTCTTCTGCGACTGTTTCGCAAGCTTTGAAATCGCCAAAACTTTCATCTTAAAGCTGAAATGTTTAGCTTTCATTCGAAATACTTCGTTTACCGAGAACTGAAAAGGGCGCCTCAAAAATTGAGTTTTTGTTTCAAGTGTCCGGATACTGGTACCGTCCGG